GTCGCCCGCCTCACGGGGCGGAGAAGCAGGTGGGGTTTCACTCTCCATCATCTCTGGAAGAAGATCCCCCGAAGACGAACCCTGTTGAGATGAACTCCTGGCCGGGCTACAAAAAACAGGTCCCGGTTATTACTCTCAGAGGAAAAAGCAATAAGATCCTGGCTTAATTAAACTTACAGCTCGGTGGAGGGCTGGCCCGTTTGCGGGCACTGTGCAGTGAGGACGCCTTTCGAGGCAGGGCCCTTTGGCGAAGTTCCTTTCCCTTGTTTAGGCGCCCGCGTCTCCAAATCTTCGGAGGCGGCCCTCTTCTTCCTGCGGGGGGAGGAAACCCCAGAATCACCTCCCTGATTCTCCTCCTTCGTGGAGGTGCTGATTCCCCCGGTTTAGATGTGCAACGTGTGAGGCCCACTCTTGGCCTCAACGCTCTCCCCTTCAGCTCTCTCTGGTGGCACCCGAATTAGTGTCCGTTCAAGGATCCTAGCCATTGCCAGGCCAGGCGAACCTTCGGGAAGAGGGGCCGGACACCTAATCCTCTCCGCCTTACTAAGCCAATCCTGGTTGCGGACAGTGTTCAGATCAATACTATGACAAATATAAGCAAGGTGTTCGATTATAGGGTTACTTACTTGGGTATCGAGGTGATTGCAGCTTAGGCCCGCATCCTCGGTGGTGTCCGGACACTTTATTCGTGGTCCGAAGAACAACTTATACATCCCTTCGGGCGTCACACCGAGGAAGTGTTGAATGGTCTGCGGACCTTCTGGATTGAATTCCCACATCCGGGGAGGCCGGCATTTGCACGGCAGGATACGTCGGACTAGCATTACTTGGATTATTCTGACGAGACTAATGTCCCTCTCAAGGATCTCCCGAATGCGGCTTTGTAGCATTAGTACATCGTTCGTAGGCCCCCATTTTAGTCCCACGTTGGCCCACGATGCCAGTTGAGTTGGAGGGCCCGAGCGGAAGGCAGGCGCGGCCGCCCACTTTGAGCCTCGGGGAGCTGTGACATAGAACCACCTTCGTTGCCATAAATCAGATACCTCCGAGAAGGAGCCTTTGGGCCACGGGGCATCAGCGTTCCTGCTTATTATGGCACCTCCGCACTCTGTGTGTCACTCCTCAATTATCTTCGGGTTCACATTGAAAGTCTTGAGCCATAAGCCGAAGTGGGGGCAATGTGAAGAAAGGCTTCACACACAACGATAAATGACGAGATGTGGAGGATGGAATCCGGAGCTAGATCATGGAAATCTAGCCCGTAGTAGTGCATGAGCCCCCTCACGAAGGGATCAAGAGTAAGACCTAAGCCCCCGAGGAAGTGGGAGACAAATACGACGCTCTCGTTAGTCTTGGGAGTGGGGATAACCTGTTCGGGAGCAGGAAGCATGTGCTTGACATCGGCGGTCAGATACCTAGCCTCCCTAAGCTTCGCAATATCCTCCTCTGTGACAGAGGAAGCCATCCATCGGCCCTGATGGTCAGATCCGGACATGATCAAAGATCCGGGGTGCTTAAGCTTGGGCTTTAGGTGTTGGGACTCAGGGTGCGAGATGTGCGAGCATGGAGACAGAGGGATAGGCCTCGGCTCCTTTATAAAGGGGGAAGAATATCAAGCGTCCCCGAACGTGGTTGTTCGGGACTTGCCTAAAAACACGGGGTCATGCCAATAGGCACGGTTGGATTACCCATACCCGTCACTACAAGAAATATGTCAACTTGTGACCTTCTGTTAGTGACCCTGGAAGAATTGGTCATAGATCTATGACCATTTCAGACCAATTGGTCAAAAGCTGTTCGGGGGGCTCCAAACCCTAAACCATTGCGACCATTTTGGTCAGAAAGGTCGTAATTTCCTTACACGAAATGGTCACAAAGCAAACAGTGCTAATCCGCTGCCTTATTTCTAGTTGTTAATGACCAATATAGATGGTCATAGCCTTGTAGATTGTGGTGGGTTGTGATGACTAGGCGCCATCTCATCAGTTTTGCCTATGTGTCATGTCCATGTGGCAGTTTTTGCCGTAGGTTGTGAAGCAACCTATATTTCTGTTATTCCAAAAATTCCCAAAAAATTCTCATAAATGTTTCAAATATGTCAAAAACATTCCTTGCCTAGTTCAAAAATAATTCGAAAATATTCATTTTCCTATTCTGTTCAGAGCAGCACTTTGTGAAGAGAGTACCACTTTGGCATGTCCAAATGGTATCCATTTTCTACAGTGCTTTCTTATGCCCAAATAACCATCCTCCACCAAATGCCAGCTCAATCCATTCATTATTTTGAGCCCAGCTTCAACATTCGTATTTATATCCATTGTGGTACTTTGTAAAGCAAGTACCACCTAGGCTCCTCCTTTTGAGGTGAAAATTGGTGAAGACGGTCTCCTTAGTAACTGATCATCCTCAACCAAAACTCACGCACATTAGCCATGTGCATTTCCCGTACCGCAAATCAAACACTTGGCTGCTTATTCATGTTTGAGCATCGATCGGTCTCCTCATGAGAATCTTATGTTGTGATTTTCTTCCTAGCACCTACCTGGGGAGTGCCCAACCCACTAGACATGCCTAGGCCGCCCAGAACTCATGGCAACGCCACGGTCACGCGGTGACCACGCGGCGGGCATGCGAGCTTACGCGCTCTTGAGTTGGGGCCCTCGGCCACCATCCAAACCTCGATGTCTCGCCATCAAACCATGTATTTCGGATTAAATAGATACTTATTTACCTAGAAATGATTTTTGGAAAAAATAAAGAGCAAACTATGAGGTAGCTGCAGTTCAAATTTGACCCGCTTCCAACTGAATCGGCGGGAATTTGTCTTTTTCACTAGAGGTGGATCAAAACTTTTGACACCCAACCATTTCGTCAATTGTGCATTAAATATGTCCTAGTATTTTATAAAAATGATTTGGTATAATTTTGCAACAAATATATGGTAGGTCCTTCGCAAAAAACCTCATTTCGGGCACTCAAAAAATGGAAAATGAATTTTCCGTGCAAAGAAAATGAAAACTCCCTTTGGCAACATTGTTTGGAATTCCAAGATGCACCCTTGTGCACAATATGAGGTCATTTGAACAAACTATGCCATGAAAGTGGCCATGAGATTGAGCGTTTGGGTTGAAATCCATGAATCTTCACATATGATAGCTCATTTATGAGAACACTTTTCTAAAATAATTTCTGTATTACAAGTTTATTATTTTTCCTGGAAACTTGGTCACATATAATGACACAATGCGAAGGTCTTCCAATTTTTTGATTTTTTTTGAATTTTTTATGCCCGTTTCGAAATGCGGTCAAAACGGCGGGAGTGTCCATTCCTAGCTAGTGGTTGAATCTGGGAAAACTTTTGATGTTTCTCTGATTAAATAGATACTTATATACCTAGAAATGATTTTTGGAAAAAATAAATAGCAAACTATGAGGCAGCTTGCAGTTCAAATTTGACCCGCTTCCGGCTGAATCGGCGGGAATTTGTCTTTTTCACCAGAGGTGGATCAAAACTTTTGACACCCAACCATTTTGTCAGTTGTGCATTAAATATGTCCTAGTATTTTATAAAAATGATTTGGTACAATTTTGCAACAAATATATGGTAGGTCCTTCACAAGAAACCCTCATTCCGGGCACTCGAAAAATGGAAAATGAATTTTTCGTGCAAAGAAAATGAAAACTCCGTTTGGCAACATTGTTTGGAATTCCAAGATGCACCCTTGTGCACAATATGAGATCATTTGAACAAATTGTGCCATGAATGTGGCCATGAGATTGAGCGTTTGGGTTGAAACCCATGAATCTTCACACATGATAGCTCATTTATGAGAACACTTTTCTAAAATAATTTCCGTATTACAAGTTTATTATTTTTCCTGGAAACTTGGTCACATATAATGATACAATGCGAAGGTTTTCCAATTTTTTGATTTTTTTTGAGTTTTTTATGCCTGTTTCGAAATGCGGTCAAAACGGCGGGAGTGTCCGTTTCTAGCTAATGGTTGAATGTTGGAATTTTTTTGGTGTTTCTCTGATTAAATAGATACTTATGTACCTAGAAATGATTTTTGGAAAAAATAAAGAGCAAATTACGAGGTAGCTACAATTCAAATTTGACCCGCTTCCAGCTGAATCGGCGGAAATTTGTCTCTTTCACGAGAGGTGGATCAAAACTTTCAACACCCAACCATTTTGTCAGTTCTATATTAAATATGGACTAGTATTTTAGAAAACTGTTGGAATCCAATTTTGTCACAAATATTTGGTAGGTTCTTCACAAAAAAAACTCATTTTTGCCACTCAGAAAATGATTGAAAATAGCTAGAAAGATCATAAATGCATACAAATTGGTCCTTATCCATAAAATGTGGTCTAACTCTAGTGAAAATTTGTGTGGTGCCCTTTTGAAAAATATTTTTGATAGTTACTTCACAAAATCCCTCTATTTTTAGTACTTGGAAACTATTTTAAATCACTGTTTTTCCGAACCAATCACGACCCTTCTCACGGATTGATGACATGGCGTCCATCCATCCATCCATCCATCATCTCTCCATCCCACATCCATCCATCCATCTGTCGACAGAAAAAAAAGAAAAAGAGATACCCCACCCGCAGCCCAAACCCTAGACCCATCCCCCATCGCCCCCTCCTCCCTCGCCCCCCTCGTCCAAACCTGGTGGCGGCGGCGCCATCCTTCCTTCATGCCGCACCCAATTCTGGCGAGTAGAGGCGGCTCTCGCCGGCGCGCAGCACACCCCCAGGCTCCCCTCGTGCTGCTCTTTCCTCCCCTCCAGCCAGATCCATTTCTCGCGCCCTCTACCACTCACTCGGAACCCTCACCCGTGGCTAGGTTTCGGGCGACGCGTCGCCTTTGTCGCCGGCGTGGCTCTTCCTCGACTCGCTCCTCGCCTTCCCCGCTGACCACCCGTTCCACGACCACCTCGTCGCCATCCGCGCTCTCCGTGCCGCTCTCCGAACCGGCGGGGTAGGCCCCGATGCCCGCGGGCCTCGTTGGTGCGCTCCTCCCCGTCGCCAACTGCCCCAACCACCCCACCGGCCGCGCGATAGCGATGCCGACGAGGGCGACGGACCTGGCGCGTCGGTCACCCAAGAAGTACGTGGAGGAGGCACTCTAGGGGTGGCTGTTCTGGCGGGGGTCGATGTCGCAGGCGGTGCGCGAGGAGGTGGACGGCTTCCTCGGCAGTCTGCATCCACCGCCTCCGGCGCCAGGAGCTCTACCGCCACGCCCTCAAGGTCTGCCCCCTCCCCCGCCCCTCCGGATCTTGTCGCTAACCTCGGTTCCAGCTTAACTCTGCCTCTAGAATAAAAGCTCTCGTAGTCTGCAATGCCATGTTTGATGTTTGTGTATGTTATTAACATTAGACTTTTTCCTGCTGTCATCCTGTATAATCTGCAAATGCTGATGTATCAGTAAAGAAACAATTTGAGACTATACTCTACTGTTGTTGTTGTTGTTGTTGTTGTTGTTGTAAGTAGGAGTAGTAGATGTTTCTGGGTACTGAACTAAATGGCGTACATTTCTATTATGGTCATGGTCAAACAAACCTGTATTCAGTCCACATTTGTGCCAGATGATTGGACGAAAAATATCCCCATCTACCTACGTGTAGGCACTGTCCAACGCAAACGCTAGTCCAGAACAGCACAAGAATCCAACCCAAATGCCCTCTTGTCTTGTGGCCAGCATCAATCCGACTGAAACTTGGCATTGAAAATAGGCAACTGAACCAGTTTCAGACATGGTTTTCAGCTGATGCTGCTGATAAATCCTGAATTTTTTCCCTTGTGAAAAGGAGTTGCGGAGATCGAAGCTCCGAGGCGCTAGAAACTATATTTTTGTTAATTTTGTTCCTTGTATGAACAACCTTATAATTTTGGGCAGGAGCCAGAGGCGCAGCCACGCAAGGTCGAGCCAGCCACGGAGATGCTCTTCCTCTGCAGCTACGACAACTGCGGCAAGACCTTCGTCGACATGGCTGCCTTGAGGAAGCATGCCCACGTGCACGGCGAGCGACAATATTTTTTGCCAGGAGCCCGGCTTTGGGAAAATGTCTCCAGTGAAAGAAAATTACTTTATGCCTTTACAAGTGCTTACTCTAGCATTAGTAAACTTATCCGCTTACTACTGTTGGTGAACTTCCCTTTGTTTTCATGCTCAGATGTGAAACGGATTTAATCTCTTTATTATTCTTATTATCCACAAGGAACTTCCTATGCTGTGCTTAGTTATTGATGGAGTTATGGCCCAATAGATTTGTTTCAGTACAACCATACATGTAAGACGTTTGGTTATATTCCTATATTGAGAAAATGAAAAAACTGTCATATGTGTCCTTGCTGTTGATGGGAGAATGTAATTCCTAACTATGTGACTATTCTTTTTGTATAGAAATGATGAATCCTTTTTCTGTTTGTTTTGCAGAAATTTGTAGATAGCTCAAAGTTGAACAACTCCCTCAATGATGAATGCCTTCTCTTCTTCTGGTTTCCTTCATACCGCATCTGATTCGTGCGTGCGGTCTCTGCAGTTTGCTCTCTCCGATCTACTATGGTCTGCTTCAGCTTGTGTGAAGGGGTTCTTCTTCCTCCCCTCCCAGGCATAGGTGGTAAGCCATATCCATCTCCATCTCCCTCTCCCCCACCCCATCTCATCTCTGTAGGTAAGCACTGATTTCTATCTTAGTCTTTCTCTCTCTGTAGGTACCTCGGACGCGAGGGTGGAGCCTTGACCGGAGCTCGGGCAGAAAGGATGGGAGGCGGTGGATGCCCGCACGGATCCAACGTCTCCGACCTCGACATCCAAAAGGACGAGCGGTGACAATTACATACCCAACCAAGGGGCAGCAGCAATTCATGGTCAAGCCTCCCTCTACCTCTCCCACGTTCCCTGATTTTGCTGCTGCTCTAAGTTCACATTCATGCTTTACTGAATCTAGTGAAATGCCAAGTGCTACTGCTCTAAATTTGCTGCTGCTGCTGTCATTCCCTACTCCCTAGTGTTACTGCTCCAAATTAGTTTGTTGCAAAACATATATGCAACTAGTTTTCGTTTTATATTTGCTTGCTTATGTGGAACTATATTTTCTCATTTTCTAATTATGACATGGATGATATGAAATATTAGAATTGTTTCTGTTACATGGTGTGCTGCTGGAAAGCCCCTATGTAGGTAGGTTTATTGTCTGTAGCATCATTGCTTTTCCCCAGCAAGCTCAGTGAAAAGATGCATTGGTTGCTTTTGGTGCACATGGAGGAACATTTTTCTATAAAATAACTATTGTGTAGTGAATTGTACTGCTGGAGTAACATTCTTCTATGAAATAACTATTGTGCAGTGAATTTTGCTACTGTAGATCAGATGGCATGGAATAGGCATTAGTCTAAAAAGATTTTTGTTTTCTGGCACCTATGGGTTCTTGGCCTTTGTTTATCTGTTATGCTGTGTGCTGTGCAAATATACATAAACCACACTAACCTACTGCTGCTATTTTCAGGTACGCCATCACAAAAGCCTTCTGTGTTGCTTTTGGCATGACATTCTTCTTGGTATTTGCCGCTGTGCTAGTCGGAGGTGCTGCTGCTACATTTGGCGGAGCTACCGCTGCCGCCCCAAAGGGCAACCTTCATCAGACACTACCTCATAACAGTGCCTCAAAGTTCTGTGCCCCATCACCCCTCTTTCTAAATTACCTAACAACCAAACAAAACTCATATGCTTATGCTGCGCTTACTTTTAATCTTGTGAACATGCTAATTTAGAGGATGTACTGTAGTTCCACTCATTTATTCTGTGTGATGAGCTTACTTTTGTACTGTAGCCACCTTGTTTACTTTGCTGAATCCTGTCTTGTGTACTACTCATGAGTTACTAGCATTTGGCTTCTCTGTGCTAATTAAATCTGATAAGTATGTATACTTCTTTGAGATACAAATTCCACATTGCATGTTTATGTGCTAATTAAACCTGATAAGTATGTATACTTCTTTGAGATACAAATTCCACATTGCATGTTTATGAGGTTCAATTTCTACAGATGTTGCAAAATGAATGTGTCAACATGTCTCTCCTTAGGGGTTGTTTTAAACCGCAAATGATCTACTGTATCAATTTTTTGCTGTTCAAAGATTGAAATCCTGGTTCATTTTCAAAGATCGAAATGTTGTTGACCCTGTTCTTCTATGCTTAAATGGTAAAAATGTTGCATTTTGCTTGTTCTAACCATTTTTCTTGATAACTTGCAGATGCTGGCCTTCATTCATGTTTTGTCGTGTGGTCCAGGATGAACAAGTTGGGAGAAGCATTGGAGCTAGTTATACTATGATAGTTGTGTTACCTGATGTGAACATTTTTTTATTGTAAACTTGATGTGAACCATATTTTTCTATAATAATGTGTTACCAGGATGAACCATCCTTGCTGTGTTACCAGGATGAACAAGTTTGATTGTAATAATGTGCCAAGTTGGACTCTTTCTGATTGTATTCGTGATGTGTACCATATTTTTCCTTATTAGTCATGCTCTGTTTGAAGCATTTTGTTTTCTCTCTGTTCGGATTTCAATATTGTTATTTATTTATTGGAAAATTGAGATCTGAAGAATATAATAGTGACAACTGGGACCCACTTGTTAGAACCTGACAACTGGGTCCCATCTCACTAGTGGGCTCATCTTTCGGAAAAAATAAAATAAAAAAGTCCATGGCCTAGAAAATAAAAAGGCCGAATTCTTGGGCCAAGCCCATGTAGCTAATAAAAGAACAAGAAAAAAATATAGAAAGGCCGAATTGTTGGGCTAGGCCCATGTAGAAAACCGAATTGGACCGGGCTGAGTCTTGTGCCACATCAGCTTGCCACGCTAGATGCCTACGTGGCCTGGGGAGGTTGCTAGTGACCAAAACGCCACAGTAGGAATATTTTGGTCGTAAACATCTTCGACCATTCCAGAAGAAAGGTTGCTATAGTCAGTTTATGACGGCCAGCTTTTGACCTTCTATTTTTGTTCACAAAAAGGTCGCAAATAGAAATTTGTGACCTTTCAGTGACCAATAGTGGTGGTCACAAGTTGACATATTTCTTGTAGTGCGTATTGATGAGAATTCCGCAATAAGGGGAACACGATCTCTGCTCTGACAGGACGTGCCAGAGAAACCGCCTCGTGGTGTATGCGGTAGCAAGTTGTAAGAACGGTTGGAATAAAACCTGGACCGTGGCGTGATGTCACTCTTCGAAGGATTGTCAGCAAATTGGATTCGTGGATTATTATTATTATTCTCTCTACGGTGATATATGGAGTGTTATCTTGCAGAGCCGGACACGGTCCTTGTGTTTGGAATTTATCTTGGAGTATTCGGAGATGGAACCCGCCTCGCAATGCCAAAGACAATCTACGCACGGGACTCATCGTCATTGAAGCCTGGTTTAGGGGCTACTGAGGGAGTCCTGGGTAAGGGGGTATCCAGACTGCCGGACTATGTACTTTGGCCGGACTGTTGGACTATGAAGATACAAGATGGAAGACTTCGTCCCGTGTCCGAATGGGACTCTCCTTGGTGTGGAAGGCAAGCTTGGCGATCCGGATGTAGATATCCTCCTCTGTAAACCAACTCTGTGTAACCCTAGCCCCCTCTGGTGTCTATATAAACCGGAGGGTTTAGTCTGTAGGACTCATCATCATTATCATCAACAATCATGCCATAGGCAAGCTTCTAGGGTTTAGCCTCTCTGATCTCGTGGTAGATCAACTCTTGTAATATTCATATCATCAAGATCAATCATGCAGGAAGTAGGGTATTACCTCCATCGAGAGGGCCCGAACCTGGGTAAACATCGTGTCCCCAGTCTCCTGTTACCATTAGCCTTAGACGCACAGTTCGGGACCCCCTACCCGAGATCCACCAGTTTTGACACCGACCACTGTGTCTCCGGTGGGGGATGTCAGGACAACACCCGCTCCCAATCCGGCCAGCATTTTAGAGCTGTCGAAGTGCATGATCCAATTTGAGTACGCGTTGTACTCCTTAGGGAGTTCGTCTTCTGTCCATTCAGCGAGGAAGTCAGCCAGCACTTGCGACTTAATGGCCCGCCGTGGTTTGTATGTTAATTCGGCCTGTTGCGTCGCGGTTATTTATTATGTCATTTAGTGGTACTTCAGAGGCCACCGTGATCAAACACTCTTGAAAGTAGTGTCGTAGTTTCCGGGATGCCATGAAGACTGCGTACGCTATCTTTTGATAGTGTGGGTACCGAGATTTGCATGGAGTGAGGACAGTGGACATGTAAGATATAGGCTTTTGGAGTGGGAACTTGTGTCCGTCTACTTCTCGTTCAACGACGAGCACTGCGCTTACAACTTGGTTTGTTGCGGCTATGTCTAATAGCATGGGTTCGCCAGTATTTGGTGCAGTCAGGACTGGGTTTGTGGCCAAGAGTGCCTTTATTTCTTCCAGTCCGGCTGTGGCCACATCCGTCCACTCGAAGTGTTCGGTGTGTCGAAGAAGGCGATAAAGAGGTAGTGCCTTTTCTCCTAAGCGGGAGATAAAGCGGCTTAAGGCGGCCATGCATCCGGTTAGTTTCTGGATCTGCTTGAGGTCTGTTGGGATAGCCAACTGTGACAAAGCTCTGATTTTTGCCGGATTTGCTTCAATTCCTCTATTGGAAACAATGAAGCCGAGCAATTTCCCGGAGGGTACACCGAAGACAGATTTCTCCGGGTTGAGCTTGATGTCGTATGTTCGGAGATTGTCGAATGTAAGCCTCAAGTCATCTATTACAGTTTCAACATGTCTTGTTTTCATGACCACGTCGTCTACGTAGGCCTCTACTGTCTTGCCGATTTGTTTTTCCAGGCATGTCTGAATCATGCGTTGATAGGTTGCGCCGGTGTTTTTGAGCCCGAAAGGCATGGTGTTGAAACAGAAGGGGTCGTACGGTGTAATGAAGGCCATTGCGGCCTCGTCGGACTCTGCCATCTTGATTTGATGGTATTCGGAGTATG